ACAGAAGGAACTATCACCTTTCTAGAAGTCTAGAAATTAGCAATGTCTTTTAATGTGCTTTTGTGAGAAAGTTACAACCTAAAATTAGAGGAATATCACCACTTGAAGCAATATGCAACCACACCTGTGTACACACCAGCTTCATATGTACAAGACAGAACAGATTAGTACTGCTTCACTTTATCAAAGGATGTCATTGAACATAAATCACTAGCTCATACATGATAGAATAGAGCTTCTTTATAAAACCATACATATCTAGTTGCTATATAAGTTAACAAATTCTATTGAAAGGGTATTGTCATCAGTCTCATACTGTGAGTTGCTATCTTGCTTCCAAAAATGTCAAAGCAATGTTACATCTGTTATCTTTTTCCTTACACACTCAGTGGTTTTGGTAGTATAACACCTGACCACTACAATGTTATTTCTTTTTATTCCTCTTCTTTTTAATTTGCAAATGATATCTTTGCTTTTTTCTTTTTAAACTTTATTTTATTAAAAAAAACTCAAAATTTTATAATTAAATAATAAGAAAATAATGATAGTGATTACACTGTGTATCATTAACTTCAAAGTAGTTACTCAGAGTACAGGACATACACCAAAAAGATTCTTACAAAAAAAGGAATAGATATTAACACAAGTCTTTCCTTTCAATGAACTGAAATAAACCAATAGTATAAATGAAACCAATTAACATAAATATTGAAGTGTTTTTAAAACAATGGAATTTGTAGTTTCCCTCTTTCCTATATATCTGTCTTCTATTTCGTTCTTTGTGGTTCTCATGTAAGAAAAATCACTCAAACTTTGAGCTTGTGTATTTGACTTATTTCACTTAACATTATGCTCTCAAGTTACAACCATTTTTTTCCTACAAATACCTCAGTTTTATCTCTTTTTGGTAATATAAATCTCCATTGTATAGAAAATTCCACATTTCCCTTATTCATGCATCTGTTAGTGGACATATCTGTTGTTTTCAAGATCGAGCTATTATAACTTGTGTTGCTATAAACATGGTATACCCCTGAAATATGATGATTTTAACTCTTTTGCAAAGACACCTAGAAGGGGGATAGCTGGGTCAAATGGAATTTCTATTTTTAGATTTTTAAGGAATCTCTACACTGATTTCCATTGTAGATGTACTAGTTTACATTCCTACCATATTTCTTTTTAGAAATAAGGAAACAAAAATTAGTAGACTTGCTGGCAATCACAAAACAAGCTGATAGTAAAATGAGTGCTCACTCCTGATCTCTCCAATTTCTTTATCACCAGTGGGCACATATAATATTAAAGAAATGAGAAAGCACATAGTGGTGAATATATTTTCCACTTATGTTACCCTACATTGAATAGAGCATTTAAACTAAATGGTAGTGCCACAGAACTAATATTTTAGTTTCCTAAGATTGTACGTTAAACTTAATGAAATAATGAAATAAAATAGGCTATAATAGGACATTGTATTTATTATTACTTCAAAATACACCCTTTTCTTCCACTGAAGTGCCTAAGCAACAAAAGTTCTTGGACATAAGCACCTGCCTTGCAATCGCAAGGTCAAATTCGATCCCTGGTACAAAAAAAAAAAAAAAAACTATACAAAGACTATTTGTTTAGATAACTGATATTTATCTCTAACAAATGAGTTTCGGGACCTGTAAACAACTCCATTTTCATTTTTCTAACAATTCAGTGATGAAAAAGTACAAAATAAAAATTTTTTTAAATTTTTTTGATCGAAGGAAGAGTACTGGGTTGAGACTCACACTGACTTTACATCCCTGACCCTTTTTAAAACTTTTGATACAGATTCTGGTTAAGTCACTAAATTGCCCAGACTAGGCTTAAATTTGCAACCCTCCTACCTCAGATTCACAGAATACTGGGATTACAGGCATGCACCACCATGCTTAGCTAAAAAAAAAAAAAAAAAGCTGTTTTTAAATGCCAGGGAACCCTGATGACGGAGAACCCAGGCTGTCCAACTGCTAATATACCCAAAGAATATACAATAAATGTCAGTACTTGGTAGTGACAGCTAAAGAGTTACTTCTCTCTACCTAGGCAGTTAATTCCTATTGCAATTATTTTTTTGTGGGTGTTCAGATTAATGTATCATTGATATTTTAAATATAACAGAAAGCATGGAAGTGGGGGTCGGGTGTTCTTGCTTATCTGGCTTACATTTCAGGATCTGGTGACTATGAAATAATTCACTGATACTGACAGGATTAGACAATAACCAGTAGGATTTAGAAGTATAATGTTTACAAGTGGTCAAAAGATTTTTCTACAGCAATGTTTTTCCTCAGTGAAAATAGTCCTCATTTTTTAAGTGTCTCACCTCCTTATACAGTCTTTTCTAAATGTACACCCCCATATACTGCTGCAATTCAATATTTCTGAGGCAAGTACACATGTAGGAAAAATGGTCAATTTGGGCGCTCTGGGAATAGTAATCAAGGATTCCCCCAGCCTCCATGTAAGGTTTGTGGGTGCAGGCCTGAAGCCAGGATAAGTCATTAAGGGCCTAACCCTAAGGTTTGGGTCTCCAGGGACCTCTCCAGTTCCAATAAATTAAGGTACCATGTTACTTATTAACAAGCTTACACACACCCAGTAAAGGTACTTACATGTAAGAGCTAAATGAATTCTTCATCCTTGGATCACAGCAAATTCATAATTAGGGCTATGTTAGTAACTCTGAATCTTTTTTTAAACTGACTCTACCCCGAGCAAGTAAGCATCTTGATATCATTGTTGGAGACAAAATTTCTAGCTGAAAGATACAGTACTATTATTTTGATTAGTTATTTGAAGGTTTTTAATTCTTTATGGGTCAACTATGACTTCTGTATCTTTTTTGTTGATTAGAGATAGTTATATAATCTGTACAATGATTTCAGTAATTTTAATAACCAGAATTCTTATTTCTCCCTAACAGTTTATAAAATTTACTTTTTTTCTTTTTTAATCTAGCGTGTTTAAGACACAGGGTCTTTCTATGTTGCCCAGGCTGATCTGACACTACTGTGCTCAAGTGATCTCTCTGTCTTAGTCCTTCTAAACTCTACATTTTTAAGGGCAAATATATAAAAGAAAGCAGGGTTTTTAACTTCGGAAAACATTGCTTTTAAGGGGACTATTTTATCAGTTTAAATACAGAAATCTCTGAACATCTTAATGAAACATTTTAATTTTATAATCCTAATCTTTTTTTTGTATCTTTCACTCCCTTTGTACCAGAAATTTAGCTTGCTTCTTGATCTCTTCTAAATTAGCTTTATCTTTATTTTCATTTCATAATAAATCCTTTATATATTCCTTCAGGAGAAATGGCCTTACAGATTACTTCTTCCCCCACCCCCTTTGAATAAGTGATTTAAGAGTATTAGGACAAATAATCAAGTTCATGTAATAAGGCAATACAATGAGTTAACAAGTAATAAGACATTTATTTTTCCAAAAACCTCATGGTCAACATGCATAACCACTTTTAGCAATCTGGTAAATCAATTCAAATTAAAATGAACTTTTATAAGCTCATTTTGGACTTAACCAGTTAATTTAACTTATTGATGGAAAACTTTCTCTAACAATCGTTGAAGTTACAGATTTAGAAATAAAACATTCCGTTATCTATCCCTTATAGCAGCATGTTACACTTGCTCTCTTTCCTCTTCCACCTCCTCATGAAATAGGAATGCTATGTGGTCTTATTTGGCTTGAAGAACATGGCTTCTACTGAGCTGAAAAGATCCACCTGTATAAAATACAACTAAGACCTAAAAATCCTGTGCAAATTTTAATTCTCAAGATGTCTTTTGGGATTAAAAAAATTGTTCTATTATTTAAAGATTAGAGAATTGATTAGAACACTTTATGTATTAAGTTTCGATGCGATTTCTAAAGTTGCAATAGATACGAAATCTATTTCGATCAAGTCAGATTTTACCTGTATGAAAAGTAGTATGTCAGGAGCACCTACTGCTTAAAGGATGGCCTTAGCATTTTCTCTTACGGGAAAGTAGCTACCTGATGCTAAATTCACCACTACTTCCATAGCTGCTCTGACTGGGACAGGAAAGGGTGCTTTCTGACCTTTATGGTTGTTGGTGGCCCAATCCAAACCACCTAACACCTGGGCTCTATTAAGAGTTTTTTTTTTGGGGGGGGGGGGTTCGAATAAACAAAATGAAGAACTGTAACTATTTAGCACATTAGGTTCTACATTTATGGAGCCTATAAACTGACTTCTGGCTGAAAGTAGAAACAGTCTCAAGAGTTTAAATGAACTCTTCCTTCCTGGAATCACAGCAAATTCAGAACTGGGAATATATTAGTAACTCTGAATCTTTTTATAAACTGACTTCACCCTGGGCAAGTAACCATCTCCCGATGCCATTGTTGGAGACAGGATTTCTGGCTGAAAGATCATTTTTATGATTCAATCTGGCTAGCTGTTCTTGGTTAATCATCCTGTTTCTCTCAACATTTCACTTCCCTAACTATAGTGGTCACCGTTCATTTTCAAGCTCTTAAGCGATTCGATTTCTCCAGTCGTATGCCTCCTTATCCCATTTAAGATCCCCCATCTCCTTTCCTACCGCCTTTTCACTAAGATCTCGCTAAATATTAGAAACACCACATGACCTCCTGTCTACCAGTGTCTCCAACAAACCGTTGTAAAAAGAATTGATTAGCGCGGTTGTAAGTTTCCCCAGTTTGGACTTTAAAATTGTCTTTAGTTTTTCAATTCTAAGTTAACTTTCACCACAAAACTTAAATTTAAAAATATTTTAAATAAAGAAACCAATCCCTTTAACCTTTAGTCCCGCCCATCGCCCCCACCCAACCCCCTTCCACGCGAAACTGCAGGAAACCGGAGGGGGCGGGTCGGTGACGTCACGACGCCAGTGCGTCACCGAACGAAGGCGGCTGCGGCGCTGGCGGTGGCTGCGGCAGCGGCGGCATTTTAGTCAGTGGCGGCGGCGGCGGCAGCGGGCCTGCTGCTGCTCCTCCCAGCATCCCTGGCGCGGCCATTTCAGCCCCATCTTGGCCGAGGGGAGGGAGCTGCAGCCGCCGCTTCAGCAGTTTGAATTTCAGTTTCTCCGGGGTTTATGGACCGGGCGTGCTGAAGAGGACCTGAAGAAGCCGCCGTCGCTACCTCATACAGCCGGAGCGCCTCGGCTCGCCGGCGAGCCGCCAGCCGCCGCCGCCCCTCACTCCGCGGAGCCGCGAGGGGAGGCCGAGACTGTCGCCGCCGCCCGCCTGCGGGGGAGGCTCCCTGAGAGGGGAAGACCAGCCGGCTCTCCCCTCCCCCGGAGCGGGCTTCCGCCTCAGACGGTCGGCATGTCCCTGGGGCTGAGCTCCGGCTAGAGCCGGGGAGCGAGGGCCGCCCGCCCGCGCGCAGCCTGCCTGCGGTCCTCCAGCCAGCCCGGCCCGCGGCTCCAGACCCGCCGCTCCTCCCTCCCTCCCTCCGTGGCGGGGAGCCGGGCGCCGCCGCCGGCACCGGCCCGAGGCGCACGAGCGGGGCAGCGCCGCCCCCCACGCCGCCGCCTCCCCTCCGCCCTCCCACTCCCACCCCGGCCTGGGCCTGCTGAACGCGTGAGCGCCGAGCGACTGACCGCGGCAGCCGGGGCCGGGGCGGAGGCAGCGGCAGCGGCCCGCCCCTGGGATCGCGCTCTCCGTCGCTGAGGGACTGAATTGAGGCGCCGCGGCTGCTGCGGTGAAAAGGAAGGAGGAGCCGCCGCGGGAGTGAGACTAGGGGCCGAGCCCGACGCCTGGAGGAAACGGCGAGGAGGATGTCGCTCCGAGCGGCCGGCCGCCCGATCAGCCCGTGACTACCGCGACGGGCCTCAGACCCCAGCGTCGACTCGGACTTTGTCTTCGGGGCCCGGCTCTGCCCTGCCCGGTTTCCCTCAGGACCCGGAGGAGCCGGCGTGCCTCTCTGCCATCCAGCCTTCTTCACCATGTCCAAGATGCCGGCCAAGAAGAAGAGCTGCTTCCAGATCACCAGTGTCACCACTGCCCAGGTGGCCACTAGCATCACCGAGGACACCGAGAGCCTGGACGACCCGGACGAGTCACGCACAGAGGACGTCTCCTCCGAGATATTCGACGTATCTCGGGCCACAGACTATGGTCCTGAGGAAGTCTGCGAGCGCAGCTCCTCCGAGGAGACACTCAATAATGTTGGGGATGCGGAGACTCCCGGCGCCGTCTCCCCAAACCTCCTCCTAGATGGGCACCTGGCTGTTGCCACGGCTCCCGCCAACGGAGGAGGAGCCGTTCCAGCCCGGAGCGTGGCCGGGGGGCTTGCCAATACCCTGGCAGCGGCTGCCACTCCAGCTGCCACTCCAGCCCCCACCCCCGGAGCCCCTGGCGGCCCCCCGGGCGCGGGATCCTCTGCCGGAACAGGGGCTGCAGCTCCTTCTCAGCCCCCCACCACTTGCAGCTCCCGTTTCCGCGTGATCAAACTAGACCACGGGAGTGGGGAGCCGTACCGACGCGGCCGATGGACGTGTATGGAATACTATGAGCGGGATTCCGACAGCAGCGTCCTAACTAGGTCCGGGGATTGCATTAGACACAGTAATACTTTTGAGCAGACTGCGGAGCGGGACAGCGGCCTCGGCGCGACCGGAGGGTCGGTGGTGGTGGTGGTGGCCTCCATGCAGGGGGCGCACGGGCCCGACTCGGGAGCTGACAGCTCCTTGACTGCTGTGTCACAGCTACCCCCGTCGGAGAAAATGAGCCAGCCCACTCCGGCCCAGCCGCAGAGTTTTAGCGTTGGGCAGCCGCAGCCGCAGCCGCAGCCGCCGCCCGTAGGTGGGGCTGTGGCTCAAAGCTCGGTTCCGCTGCCGCCGTTTGCAGGAGCAGCAGCCGGGCAGCAGCCAATGATAGCAGCCGCACAGCCAAGCCAGCTACAGGGTGCCGGGCCCGGCGGCTCCCCTCCGGGTCCGAGTGGACCAGGTCTGCCGCCGTCGAGTGTAGCCCTGGCGCAGCCGCCTGCGTCCCTACCTCCGCAGCCGGTCCCGGCAGTCGTTGCTCCTGCCACGCAACATTCCCAGCACTTCGCCTATCCCCAGCCTCCGATCCAGCCTGGGCATTTGCTGCCGGGCCAACCCTCCGGCCAAAGTGAGTACTTGCAGCAGCATGTGGCCGGCTTCCAGCCCGCAAGCCCCGCGCAGCCTTCTTCCACCAGCGCCGGAACGACCGGCCCTACTGCGGCCAACTTTCCGGTGGGCTCTGGCCCCAGTGCCCCTTCGGTGGGGGTGCAGATCAGGGGCACGTCTTCCCAGCCTAGTGAAGCTGTGGCTCCGGGACTAGCACCAGGAGGGCAGGCCGCGCCTTGTCAGCCGGCAGGGGTGTCGCCGGCTGCAGTAGGAGGCGTGGTGCAGCCGGGCGTGGGTTCTGCCGGCGCTGGGCAGACGCAGTCCGTGCCTCCGCCGCAGATTGGTGGCAGTGGTCAGCTGTCAGCTGTGCCTGGTGGTCCTCACGCCGTGGTGCCCGGAGTTCCAAACGTGCCTGCAGCCGTGCCCGCTCCAAGCGTGCCTAGTGTGTCTACTACTTCTGTTACTATGCCAAATGTACCTGCGCCTCTGGCCCAGTCGCAGCCACTGAGCAGCCATACACCAGTCAGCAGGAGCAGCAGTGTAATCCAGCACGTTGGGCTGCCCTTAGCGCAAGGCACACACAGTGCACCAACAAGTCTACCACAGTCTGACCTAAGTCAGTTTCAGACTCAGACCCAGCCTTTAGTCGGGCAAGTCGACGATACTAGAAGAAAATCAGAACCCCTACCTCAACCACCACTTTCTCTCATTGCTGAAAATAAGCCTGTTGTGAAGCCTCCTGTTGCAGATTCCCTGGCAAACCCTCTTCAGTTAACACCTATGAACAGTCTTGCCACCTCTGTGTTCAGCATAGCTATTCCTGTTGATGGTGATGAAGACAGGTATGGATTATCTATTTATTTTAAAAATTTGATAAGAATACTTGGCCAATGTAGCATGCAACTTTGGCAGCCGATTTTTGGGGTTTTTTTTTTTTTTTTTAGTCCTTAAGTATAAAATTTAGTTTGGTGAACATTGATTTAAATTTCTAAATTAAGTATAATGAGAGGTCTTGTTTTTTAAAAGGACTAATGGATAGAAATGCAACATTGTTTACTCAAAAAGAGATTTCAGCTTAATCTTATTTTAAAGGTGGTAGCTACTGTGCTCCCATAAGGTAGGCCCTTAGAGATACCAGTCATGCTTGAATGCTTTGGGTAGTTTTGTTAGTGTGTGTTGTGATGCCAAAACATGAAGTTTATTTATTTGTTTGTTTGTTTTTTACAAGTTTTCAATTCCAGAAAATCAGTGAGCCTTCTGGTTACTTTAAAAAAATGGAGAAGAAAGAAAATCCTTGTAAGGAATCTCCTCTTTGTATCTGGAAAGGCTGGAGAGATAAAGGTGAAATGTCAAATCCAGGTTTTGAAGATCATTAAGAATGAACTCAATGTTCAGCTTTTTAGTGAAAGGGTATCATGAAGCTTTCCACTGACTTCTCTAAGATAACCTTTTTGTTTAAGCAAAAAAAGTATTGGAAAGATGCTTTTACCTTCCATAAGTCTTTTTACTATGGGAAAAGGAGGTGTGAAATTCTTTCATATTAGTAAAAATTTTAGTAAAAGTGTAAATGTCAGTAGTTGGCTCCCTCTATGTAAGGGATGCTTTAATTAATAGTTGGAGTGAAAACTGGTGTTTTGTTACACCATTTAGTACAAGTTGATGTTCGACTATGGTTTAAAGGAAAATTTTTAGTGATTTTGAGGAAATGGTACATGGAAGTTTGATATATATTGCAAATTTCCCTGCTTGTTACAGTGTTTTTAAAAACAACAGAGAAAATCTCATATTTTACAGTTCCACATGAACTTAATTGAAGTTTTTGAGGGGTTGTTTTTAGATGTGTTAAAAGATAAAAATTATGTTTATGGGTTCTAGAATAAGTGGTTTGTAGAAGAATATACAATGTGATGTTAAAATTCTTTTTCTTCCTGCTTTTTAGTTTTTTTAACTTACCATTTCAAAATTAGCCTTATGTTTTTGTTAGATTGTTCTTTCTGAAAAATGCTCACTAAAATTCATTCATCTTCTCTGCTTTTTGTAATTTAAGTTCATCTTTTTTTGTAGGTGACTTGCTTGTGGGACTCATGTTTCACTTGAGAACTCTTAGAGAATAATATAAATGAGCTCAGCTAGCTAATTGTTGAGAGATTTTATATGGATGTGATCACCAAGTAAAGAATCTGATTCCACAAGCCACTCAGAAAAATTCCTCTGTTTTTCTGATTGCTCACATTTTCACACATCTGGACACACTTGAATAACTTGAAATAAACTTGTTTATTTTTTACGTTTGCTAATAGTTAACAGAAATAGCAGGAATCTTCCTTTTGCCAGAAGCCAGAAGCCAGTTTTTCCTGATAAGTTTGTAAATAACCTTTTCTTACCTTACATTCCTGTACATTGCCCCATATTTCTTCAAGAAATGACTGGTTTCCTAGCCTCCCTTCTTTCCTTAAACATGTGTGTGTATCTTTGAATGAAGAATGTGTTTTCCTTCCTCCTCTATAAACCACTTTCAGTTTATGGAATATGTAGTTAAATGCCTCAGAACCTTAATAGGATATGGCATGAAGCAAAGAGATTTGTTGACAAAAGGAAACTGAAATGCATTCTTTAGGTTATGACCTCATGACCTCAAAAGTGCATTTATTTTCCTTTTATTGTATTAAAAGTTGGTAATCTCAGGACTCTCATTACAAAACATGTGACTGTTTGAACTACCAATACTGCTGTATCATTTTTTTATCCTTTCAGCAGTTAAGCTATAGTGCTAGTGAATAGTCCCATTTTAAAGGTGACTTTTCTTTCCCTCTCCCCATTCTCTTAAAATCTGCATTGCTTTAATCAAATGTGGATCTGCAATGTTGGTTATAGTCTTTCATTGGTTTTTAATTTAACATGTTAGATTCCAAGATGTAATCTTACACATTTGACATTTTATCACTGGACCAACACCTGGTGAAGGAATGGAATCCATTAAGTAGAAATAGTATTTTTTTAAATGAAAAACCTTTGTAAAAGAGAGGACATTTTAAAGTTTAACGCTTGAATTAAATAACAGAGTTTTGCAGGCATGTATTTAAATTACCAAGATGAATACTTTAGAGGGAACAAAACTTACTAAAAATTTTAATATGGTGATTTGAGGTCTCATTAAATTAAAAAGGTTGCAGTCTTTCAAATGTAAAAAAAAAAGAAAATTGGAATGTGAGATCAAGAATAATTAAACTTTGTGATAGGTTGATAGATTCATATCCACATGAGATATTACAAATAACATGTTTGCTTTTTTACAAAAATAATTTAGGATTTTATTAGTATTTTGAGAAATGGAAGATTAATAAAGTGAATTTTAGGTTGATAATTGAAAATATCTCCTGATTTTGGTTCCATTACCAAACAGATTGTGGTCATTTATGTTAAGAGTCTGGCCTTATGTTAATGCATCCTAATATTATCATATCTTCAAAAGGGCTGATGTCCATATGTTTAAGAAATTCTTAATTATCACTACTTGACCATATCTTTGTAGCCATTCCCATTAGAAAGACATGGTTAGTTGTTGAGACTTTTTCAATTGATTTGTATAAGCTGGTGGATGTAACAGTGCTTGAAAATACAGTTGTGTGGTCACTTTTCAGTGATCTTTTAAAATTTTGTTTGAACTACCTACACATTTATCAGACTCGAGAGATGTCTGAAATAGTGCTGGCCCTAAAAGGAACACAGAACAGATAGCTTTCCAACCAATGTGAACTTAGTAGGCTGCATTCCAGGAACTGTTGTGAATGGCTACAATTGTGGACTGTCACCTGCAGTCCAAGATTGTTAAAAACCAGACTGTAAAGATCCCTTAGTGGGATGTATCTCTCAACCTTGTTAATGGTTTTATTTATGTAGTTTATTAATGACTACTGATAAAATACTATAAATTGTGAATGCTAAATGATGTGCTGTGGTACGTGCTGGTAATGTAATTTTATATGTATATTTATTTAAGAAGGTTATTTGGTTTTTTTACTTAAACTTTGAGAGGATTGTGTCTAACAAGAGGCAGAATTGTCAACCTTCTGCTGTAAAACCTATATGTGCTTTTTAGAGCTATATTACTTGAAAGCCTTACTACATTTAACTTCAAAATTGTGGAGGTAATTTTTTTCCTCCATCTTTACAACTGATGTGTAAATCACATACTAAATACCATACAATTCAGGTCCTGGGGCTATAGGCATTATAGGTAAAGGTATAGGACTTGGCTAGCATATTGGTTCCCTGAATTCAATCTCCAGCACCACCATAAAAAGAAAAAGACCCTAATCTGGAAATGGTATGATACTGGATTTACAGATCTACAACTTGGCCATTTGGAATAGAGTTTATCTTTTCTCTGTACCAGAGAATTTGGAAGCAGTAATGTTCTGTAGTCACCACTACTAGTAGCCTCACCAAGACAATGGCACAAAATAAATCTCTTTTGTAATAGAGGAATAGGTTAGGAGATAATAAAAGAATTTTGATCTTTTTTTCCTTAAAATGACAGAAATTGGAGATAGGAGAGTATAAAGAGATAGCAAATAATCAAGATGGAAGAAAATATAGTAAGAATTACCTGAAATACTGCCTTAAGCAATAAGAACACTTGTAAATGATGAGGAATAGTCTAATTTTTTCCTTTAATACTTTCTTTTGGATCCATATCTTTCATTGTCTGAACATATTGTCTTTCTTAGTTGTATTACTCTTTCAGTAGTTAGCTGTGAGGAAGGAGAGTTCAGAAGTATTGTTAGATTTGCAAGTAATATCTGAATAATCACAAAAGCAGATCTATCTGGTTAAATGTAGCCTGAAAGATGTTCTCTGTGTAATTCCTTACAAATGAAAAGCAGATTTTTAAAACTAAGAAACCTTAGTAGTTGACAGTATTTATAGGGACTGTTGCTACAAAACAATTGAAAGAAAAAATCCTTTAAGTTTATAATTTTTCTTTAAATTTAACCAGTGGGTTTATGATTTAGGGCAACCAGTTGAATTAACTAGTATATATGCTCTCATATTTAAAACACCAAATCAGACTTAAGTATGTAGGCTTTATTTCTTTGAACTCATGTCAACAATGGTTTTGAAAAAAGACATCCTTCATGTTGCATGACTATGCTAAATATTTAATACAGTTGAATGTAAGCTAGTTAGTTAGTCTTGTAAATCTTGTTTCCTAGTGTGAACAGGATGATACCTAGTTTGGAGAGTTCAGAAGTATTGTTAGATTTGCAAGTAATACGTGAATAATCAATAACAGACAATTTTCATGGCAGGCATACATCACAAAAATGTAAATATTGGGGCTGGAGATTTAGCACAGCAGCATAAGCACCTGCCTTGCAAGTGCAGAGTTGTGAATTCAATCCCTGTACCAAAAACAAACAAACAAAATGTAAATATAGTATTTCAGTGTCCAGACTACTTTCTTATGAGTCCTCTGTCATACTGCAAATTACTCTTAAAGAGTTTTCAGTTTTGATCGCAAGTATAATTGTATAGTATGAACTTAATAGAAAAGGAAACAGTTTTAGGTCAGATGTCCTGTGAGATAAGTAGTAAAACAAATCTTGTTCTGATCTTGGCATTTTTACCACTTTGCTGATGTCTTTTTGTCATATTATTCTCTCAGTTTTTCTCATTGGTGAAGGTAGAATTTGAGACTTGGTCAAACTTCAAGATTCCTTCTAACCTATTGAGTTCACCCATTTAGATGAGTTTCATGAAAGAGCTACCAGTTTAAACCTTTCTTGTCAACCTTTTTTTTTTTTTTTTTTGCCAGTAGGCCATTTTGTGATAAATTTAAGTTTGCAAATGCTAATTAAATATGTCACATGCCCAGGAAAACATTTAAAGCAATAATATATCAAACATTCAATTCCTTGGTATGGTCTCTTAATAGCAGGTACTGGGATACAGAAGAAATAAAGCTATCCTGCCCAAGATCTCAGGCCATATGAAAATGATTATCAAATGTGGCAAACTAAATATAAATGCTATTGGCAACAATTTGATGTGAGAAGGTAACAGACTTTCTGTTTCAAAGTTATTTTCTGCACAGGTATTTATGTAGTTCAAAATGTATAAACGAGGATATTAAAAGACTATTTTCTGCATCTCTTTAGTCACCCAGTTACTCAGAATCAGTGTATTATTTGTGCATTCTTCTGAGGCTAACTTTGAACTGAATCTTAAAAGGGTCATTCATATTAGATTCCTGATAAAGAGAAAGGGGTGATTTTCTAAGCCTAAAGAGAAGGCAGTTTGTATAATGATGTGCAAGAGTGAAAGTCTGTCACATTGTAAAATGATGTGAGTAATTTAACAGAAACAGAGTAGAAGACTTAAATGTGATAAATTTAGATTTCTGTAGTAAGTTTATGGTTGTCACTAAAGGTGTTTTTTGAAGTTCTTGTTGTAAAGAGTAACACTGGTAAATGTTACTCTTTTAGTACCCACTCATTCAGTACCCACTTCAGTGACTGTTATATTTTTTAAAGTAAAATCTTGTGAAAAAAGCCTCTTGTTTGGGGAGTATGTGAAGGATTGAGTCCCAGAAATCAGAATTCTCATTCAGTAGCATGTACTAAATAGTTTGGCACACCTAATTCTAAATTTAAGTATTCTGTTCGCTTCAATAGTACCTTAGTGGTGATGAAACATTTGGTACATGTTAAGATACTCTACCAAAAGATTTTTATACAGCATAATATGGAAACTGTAACCCTGTATTAAATACACATCCACCTTTATTGTCAGATCCTGTGTACAACTTGTAAGAAAGTGTCCATCTCCCCTCCCCCTTTTATGGATTAAAGAATCAAACTATAAGAAATCCAAAGATTTTTTTTCCTTTTTTTTGAGACAGTCTTCTGCCAAGTAGTGCCGACTGGCCTTGTACTCACTTATGTAGCACAGGCTGGTCTCAAACTCCTAGAAATCTTCCTTTCTGACCCTACCAAGTGTTGGGATTATAGGCATGCACTTCCAGGCCCTGCTCCATAACTATTTTTGTATTAGTTTTTATTTTTAGTAGCACTTGTTTACACTACATGATTATATTCATCATGAAGAATTGGAAAATATGTATAACACACATCTTATTTCTTTTTAGGTCCCCTTCCTCTTATCCCTTTTTTCTTGCTTTTCTTTCCCTCTTCCCTTCCTCCATCTTTTGGTCCCTTTCATATCATCTATCCCTAATTTATTCTTTGGTTTTCTTATGTAAAAGAATACTTAGCTATTAAGTGACAAAGTATAGCCTCATACTCAGATTTTTAAGCCATTGAGTGCTCTTGTATTTTCTCAGAAGTTTTTGGCTTTATTACTTGGCACACAGTGAGATGGGATGAAAGAAAAGTTACTGTAGCCATTGATGTGTTGTATCATAACCTCTTAAATAATATGTTAATTCTTTATAATTTCCAGATATTAATACTAGAGACAAACGTTGACTTCTTGAGGTGTAGCTTATACTGATTTCAGACACTTACATGAAAATGCTGCTGCTTATATTTCCTGGGTTCTTATATTTCTCTGGGTTCTACCTAGAGATCTTTAAAGTTGACTTGACACGTATAAAACAAAACAATGTGTTCTCTGAGTGCAAGAACCATGTAGCTTAACCTTTCAGCTTTTACAACTTAATTTTGGTATTTGTGTGTTTTTCCTCTTTACAGTCAACCCACAAATATAGTGTCTTGCTAAATAAATCAAGTAATTGTATATTACATGCATATCCTTTTCTCGTTATATTTATATACATTTATATACTTGGAAATTAACAGACTATCTAGGATATAAACTCATAAAGGAAAGAATATATTTTATTCAGTACTTGTACAAATCTATTAGGAAAGCAGCATTTTCATTTAGGTATCTGGAATCAGTATAAGCCACACCTCAATCTTTAAAAAAAACTGGCTTCATTGGCTCTATATTTAGAATGGTAGTTTATATTGACATGAGATGAGTTGTTGGAAAACTGGCTTCAATTTTTTTTTCTTAGAAGAAAATTTGTGACCAAAACTGAAATTCTCTTGATGTTTTTACATTTCAGTTATCTCTTGATGCTTTTGGATTTTAGACTCTTACCTTGAAATGATCCTGTTAACACAATTTTCCTTGGGCTCTTAGTCCCCTCAATTTTTATGTTATTCCAAAACAGTTGTCTTTCATGACCAATGTTAGTATGTATGTCTTCCTCCCCCACCCTGCTTTGAAGTTCTTGATTAACTAGATTTTATAGACTTGACTCCTCCTAACAATTCCTGTTCATCAATATTTTGAGACAGCTTCTTGCTATTCGCTATAAAAAAGAAAAACAAAACAAAATGTCATTTTATAAATAACATCCCTGTCCAGAAACAATAACCAAAAAGAAAAACACTTTTTTGTGTGTGGCATTGCTGGTGATCAGACCTTTGACCTTGTGCATTCTAGGCAAGTGTTCTACTGAATTACATCCCCAACCCAAGATTGCATGTCTCATTTAAAACTTAATCAGTAAAATCTAAACTATATAAATTTTTCTGTTGGATCTCGATTGTGAAACTACAAATGGCTTCATTTTTTGAAGAGTGATTGTTAATTATCACCTTGTGTAACCTAAGGGTATTATAATATGTTTTAACAGACTTTGGATCCATTTATTCTATTTCACAATTGCTTTTCACACCCCAGGAGTTATCACCAACTCTGGATATGTTCTGTTTTCACTTTACATTTAACTTGTTGTGCTGAAAAAAATGCTGAGATTTCATTACTTAAGTCTTACAACTTCATTTGAAACAAAACCAGTTTATTTGACAAGTTAAATATTTATTTCCAGAGACAATATCTGAAGTTATTTTCTCTAAAAATTATAATAAATATATGTATTTTTAAATATATTTAAAGTGAATGTCCTTTGATGAATTTTTAATTCTCAACTCAGAAGATAACTTCCAAGCTTACTATTTGTTTTCCTCCTGTATTTACTGCCTGCCTCTCTAGATCATCCCATTTAGATTTGTCCCCAAACATGGGCTGGGGATTTAGCTCAAAGGCATAAGCACCTGCCTTGCAGGCAGGCGGTCATGAGTTCAATCCCTAGGTACTGCTTAAAAAAAAAAAAAAAAGATTTGTCCCCAAACAGATCTGTGATGCTAGCAGACTACTTACTATATGGTCCTGTACAATCCTGTTTTTGTTTTTATTTTTTAAGCCAAATTTTTGGTTGGTTTTTATTTGATTTGACACATTGATTTGTAATTACAAAGAGTCATCTAACAAATATGTTCTGAGAGGATGTAAGATGTTAAATAAACAGAACTTAGAAGCCTCTTAAACTTTGTTATTAGCTGTTCTACTCAGTGCATTTGATATTAGAAACCTAGTTAAAAGCGGCTAAGTTTTTAAAAGATTGCAAAGCATTAGGAGTAGGACAAACAAGAAGCATATATTAAAAAGTTCTAACACTGCTTTGGTGATGCTCTCTGACAACTAATGTCTGTCTGCCTTTTTTGGCTTATCTAAAAGAACCACCTAATAGTTAAATTTTTAAATTCAATATATAACACAATTCAGTGAGTCTTAATCGGACTTTTTTTTTTTTTTTTTTTTTTTTTTGTGCCAGGGATTGAACTCACAACCTCGCGTTTGCCAAGCAGGCACTTACGCCGCTGAGCCCTGGCTTTAATCTGACTTTTTAAGTCACAGAATTCTGTCTTGTTTGATGATCATTGACAGTTGACTGCCATTCCAGTAGACCTTGGAAATGGTTTCTTACTTTGTCTGGCACTTATAGGGCATCAGAATTGCAGTTGATCAAATTCATTTGTATGTAGAATAATAACTATGGAGCATATTGTGTATCCCAGGAAGCTTTATGTCAGTGCTAGCAAGCCTTTTAGAGACAGTGTATCCAAACTGCAATCCAAAACCCACTTATTTATTGTAAAATGCTAACATTGCAGTTAAGCCCAAATACTGAAGTTTTAGTTTAGAAAAAAACAACTTACTATATTTGGCTTGCGTGTCCATCATGGCATGCTTGCCATAGGTTCACTGCCACTGCTTTAGGTATATAGTCTTAATTCTTCAACTACCCTGCAAAACTAAATACTTCTATTACTGTTTAACAGACAGATCTGGAAAAGCGAAAATTTAACTATGCTATGTGTTTACCATAGTGATTTAAGATCATAAAACCCAGGTCTACACTGCTACCTGCTAGCTTTGTGACATCAGGCAGTTTACTTCTATCTGATCCACTTTTCTGTGAGATGGGACTAACAACAGCACTCTTTGTTAGGGCTGTCATGAAAAGAGTTATTAAATGTAAAGCCCTTAGAATAGAGTCTGGCATATAATATTTAGCACTTGGCATTCTGTGCTATTCTGCTATACTATGGGTCAAGAATTCTAAAAGTCATGTGACAAGTATTTTTTCCTCTAAGAGTACAGTCAGGTGGTAAGGAAGACCATAGAACTATGCTGAAGAGGAGAAAGAATTGTAAAAAGTTTACTCGTTGAAAAACTACTTCTGAGATAACTAAGTGTGAAGCAACATAGAAGCAGATTGCCCAGATGAGCCCAGTTCAGATTCTGTGATGTAGCCAGGTATGGTGGTGTATGTCTATAATCCTAGCACTTAGGATGTTGAGGCAAAAGGCTTACCATGATTTTGATGCCCACCTGAACTACCTAGTATATTTAAGGCCAGCCTGAACTACATAGCCAGACCCTGTTTCAAAAAAAGAAGAACAACCAAAAAACAAAGATTTGGTGGTGTTAGTCCTAGGAAATACATCCCAAAAGAGTGGTAGAGATAAATGATGAGTATAGTAAATAGACTTTTACACTTCAAGGGGCATTATACCAATGCAGGGAGTTACCTACATACCAGTACATCCAAAGATATACTAGTCCAGAGAAATCACACATAAATAAAACAATTCTAAAAGTGGAAAATTTCAAGTCTAACCAAGAAAAAAAAATCCTTATTGTGTATTATCAAACCCTTTCCACTTAGCAAATCCTGTGAAGAGTATAGCTTAACATTTTATGTGACTACTCTACCTGGGAACAACTTTGTTAAGTTGCTGGAACAATAAGTATTTATAAACGCATGTGGTACAGAATAGTGTTGATAATCACATTCTTATGTACATATTACACGTACACACACAGTTGGATGCTATTGTTTAATTTTGTCTATTATTACCCTCTTTCCTTGGTTCTGAATTATTGTTGAGGTCTACTAGACTTTTGTCTAGTTTCCAGTTGTTTCAAAGTATTAAAGTTTACATGGTCTTTCCCCCTTTTTTCTTTTGTTTTTGTTTTAAATTAAAGCAGTTGCACTGTATTAAAATTCTTCCTCTTTTTTTGGAAAAGTAGTGATTTTACTGTACATTCTCAACCTCATTTCCATTTGATTCTTGGATCTCACAGGAATCCTTCAACTGCTTTCTACCAAGCGTTCCATTTGAACACGTTTCAGGAATCAAAGAGCCTCTGGGATAGGTATGAATACTTACATGTAATGCATACATGCAAAGTGTATGCATGAATTGCTTTGCATAAAGCTGACTTTCGTTATAAGGGGGAAAATCACATGGTACTAGTACGGGACAAAGCAGCAAAATAAACCAGAAAGACAGATTGTATTTTATGTAGACTATAAACATGTTTTTCTGTTCACTGCATTTTGTGTACCTTGTTTATTTTTTGTAAAGATTTCCTATTCTAGCCTGGCATGGTGGCTCACACCTGTAATTCCAACATTTTGGAGGCTAAGGCAAGAGAATGACCATGAATTCAAGACCAGTTTGCGCTAGTGACACCCTGTCTCAAAGACAAAAAGATTTGTGTATTCTATTGAATTTTATGATGTGAAGTAAACCACTTGTTGTATTTTCATGTAAAATATATTCTGTAAAATAAATATCAGTGATTTTAACTTTGTGATATTTTACATGATTTCACTATAAAAACTACAATAACATAAAGCAGAATATTTTAAATTAAAAAATTGAAGGAGAGGTAAGACCAAGGTATCAAGGCAATAATTGTTTAGTGTCTGATGAGAAATTTTGAACACTAAATTTGTTTGGTAGACCTGCATTACTGATTTGTAACCCCCTAAAACAGTTGCTTTCTCATAACCGCTGCATAGATTTAATTTTTAAAAATGTAAAGTACTAGTTCATTTGTGGCAAAAAATACTTTGGTTTATCTTTCTGCTTAATACGTATTTTAAACAATGTATGTTCTGTTCATTTATTTTGCTGAGTATTAATACTACTATCATTCTGTATTTAATAGAAAGAGCATAAACAGTGTTTCAGAATTCACACAAAGCTTGTTTAGATTTTTTTAACCTTGCCTGGCAGCAGTTTTGTGTCTTCTGGCATAATTTTGGATAATGCTCATGGACTCTCATTTCTTTCATTAGAAAACAATATTTCATGTACATGCATACTAAGACATGGTCTGCATAGCCTAAAAATGATAAAACTTTCTTAGGCTTGATTTGCTTGTGTGGGTTACTCTAAAGGTACTTTCTACCAAAATATCTTTTAGATTGTGTATTCTTTACCAAATACATGTTTCAGTGATCACTTTTGGAACAGGAAGTTTAAAATTCATAGTAACAGGTTAATAAAATCAATTTTTAAATAGTTCTTTTTTAGCCAGATGTGGTGGTACACACCTACAATTCCAGCACTCTGGAGGTTGAGGCAAGAGGATCATTGCAAGTTTAAGGCCAGCCTGAACTGCATATGTCTCTAAATGACCAAAAAAGTTATGCTGGAGCAGTATAAATTAATCCTATGTAGGATTTAAATTACAGCATGAAACAAACATAAAGATAGAGTATGAGTAATTATGGAGTATTTGTACTTTTGTTTTTCCCTGAAGAAAAAGGTAAAAGAGCAATCTGTTTAGAAATATAGAGTAATTGTCAAAGGAATTTTAATTTGAAAATTTTTAATTTTTCAACTTTCATTGATTGCCACATAAATATTTTTGTCAAAACAGAAAGGTTTGAGCTTTATTTTTAATTGTTCGTATCTAACATTGAGAGTTTTGTTTCTTTTTATAAAACAACCATAGAAGTTGACTGAGCATTGTTGTATAAATACTCATCTGTTCTCAGATTTTACTTTAAGTTGCTTTAACTGTAATTTCTGATGGGTTAAAAAGTATTCTGTCTTGCAGCCTGTTGTCCAGAGCCAAAGAGGTTAATGGACAACTTTCTATGGTGTATTAATACCAAAACAGTCAGAATTTATATTGTAGATCAGCCATTCTTTGCTGAAAGTTGACCTATTCGTATCAAGGTGACAGGCCCAACCTAATAAAAACTGACTAGTGACTTCTTAGCACTTTTCAACTAGCTTATTAAATTTTTATTGAAAGAAGTAGTAGTGGCCAACTTTATTAGTTCTAACAATCTACCACTTCAGTTACCCAAGACCTAAACTTGTTGATAGGTGTATGGGGTAAGAAAATACTGTGGTATTGTTTAATCATTGCAAGCAATTTGTGTAAAGCTTTAAAGAAATATTAGATGTAACTTCTGCCCTTGTTTGTTTTGGATCTCATCAAATTACTTTCTTCCTATAAATAATCCTGTATATATAGGTTTTTAAAATTGTGCTAATTCTTTAAACATGTACTTTCAGGGGTGATTCTGCTAAAATCATTCAGGAATTTAATGGGCATAACTTCCTTACATTATTTATTTTGAGACATAAATTTGCATGTCAGTGTTACTAGAATACCATATTTTAGGTTCCTTTTTATGAAATCTTAGAATTCAGTTGGAGCAGCTTTTAAGCCTCATGGCAATTTCTGTTGCACATGCTCTAGACTGGGTATTTTAAAACCCTTGGTTTTTCTTATTTCATAAATTAAAATTCCAATCTTCCAAGAGTCTTTCAATTTAGCAGATCAAAATGAGTGACTAATGTACTTTTCCCACACTGACTTAACAGTTCTCAGCCCCTCTGTTTCCCTCACTTTTTAAATTAGAATTAGCCAAATAGAGACTGCTTCTGCCCATATTTAGATATTTTCTTGTGGGTCTATCCAATGCTTTCTTCAGTTACTGCACTAAAGTTGAAGCTATTCTGAAGCCTCTGTTTCTGTCTTCATGTACGTGCCATCATAGTTTCTGTTTTCTCTGTTAGTTGACTGTAAAACCCTTTATGAATCAATCAGTGAAACTATCTTCAAACGTAAGGACAGTTAAACTGATCGCTCAGAAATAATCTAGTCCTTTCTTAGGAAGCCCTGTTTATTCAAATTAGCTTTCTAGGGAATTACTTTATTATGAAGTTAATATTTAGTGATATTCCAGCGTAGTAACATTTCAGAGTACTTACTTTATAATTTGACCATTATTTAAATTAACTTCAAAAAGTTCTTAGCTTTGTTAAATATATAGTAATTATCCTCATAAGTCACTGGAGATCAGATTCTTCATTGGTAGCTTGTTTTTAAAAACTCAGAATAAGAATCTATAGAAAAGTTTTGCCCTCTCTTACATAGGAAGACTAATGAGAAGAAACTGCAGACTATTGTAAGCAATCAGGTGGCTTATAATAATTTACCTTTGTTGATAAATACTTTTAGTATTTTTTCCTTCATGAAGAAATGGCATAAATGTAGTTTAAAATGAGAGTAATAGTTGCACAATCCCCTTGATGAGTGTACTTGCCCTTCCTTATGGTACCAGTAGTATTTACATACACAGTAATTGGGAAAGTAGTAGACATAGATTCTTAAAATGAATGTCAGTTAAGTTTATGGTAAGTCTTTTACTAAATATTTGATGATTCCTCTTAAAAAAATTTTTACTGATTAATCACTTTAGAAATGTGTTCTTAAATGACCTCAAATATTTTGTGTGAGAAAAAACTTACTTTCTCTCACTTATCCTGTGACTTTTCATTTCTGAAGCTAAATTAGAACTAAACTGCTTATATCAGTACTATAGATAATATATAAGTTGTTTTGTTTTGTTCAACTTTACAAAGCTTGGGTCTATCATTAACCAAATATACTAAGTCTAGTCTCAATATGTACTTCCAAGTTTCCAGCTTTCTTTTGTAGTACTTATTATAGTTGGTATACTCATAGAACTTATGTCACAACTTATGAATATTTTTGTCAGTAATGTATAGTTTTTTGTGAGGAGAATAGGCCAAGATGGGAGAGACAGATAATCAATGGTACTTTGAGGATCAGGTGAATGTTACATTATTTTTCTCTGAAAATTATTCTTAGAGCCCACAATTAAATGAAGATCCAAGGACCTGCTTATAAAATGTTCAGATTACTTTAAAGCACACAAATGATAGCTCTTGCAGGTTGACAGCACTTAACAAATTTACAGACTGAAGCATGTACAGAAATAGAGAAATTAAAAGAACTTGTATGAAAATTGAGGGAAGTGGAAGCCTCTATTGAGTAGGCATAACAAAAATATACCCAGATGTATTAACTGACTACATTTTATAGTACTGATTAGCAAATGACAGACCTATGTTATAATGATAAAATTAAACAGGACTGGAAAATGACAGACCTATTGTGTAACATTACTCTAAGATAGTTCCAAATACAGAACTAACAAGAGAACTTGCTTTCTTTAAATTCTACCTGGATAGACGGGTATATGTTTTAAACAGGCACAGTTAAGCTTATTGAAATAAATAGGCCACCTAAGAAATTAGTCTTGTCTTTGAAAACCTAATAAAATTGTCTTCATGTCTGTTGACATGAAGTGAGGTTTAGTGACATTAGGTGAGGTTTAGGTAAAGCTCCCTTTCTTCATTAGTGGCCTTGTTTATGAGGCCAAATATGTCTGAAAGAGCTGTGTATTTGCTTAAGAAATGGCAGTAAGTGGTGGTCCTGAATAGGAAAACCAGTAGAACATGGTGAGCGCAAGGTGAGACAGCAAG